TCACGATTAGCTCGCGTCCATTCAAGCACATTCAGGTCTCCAGCAAATTCTTCAGACGATTTAGTTCATCTGGAGACTTGACCCTGCATAAGAGATTAGTTCTTTTTCTTCACCACCCACATTTGAAGGGGTGACAAAGAGTTCATCATTTTGCGAGCTCCATAAGAAAAAGATGGCATTGAAGCCAGCGCACTTCATTTCACAGAAGAGGGGTTAGGATAAGCATATGAATAAGCAGAGAAATTCTTCGAGGACTTATGAACATAATGGTTTGAAGAATAATGCACATATTCATAGCATTTAGACTTTCCCTGCGAAACAGAAGTGTTAGCACGATGATGTTCATATGAGGATTTGGATCCACTTGAGGAATTTGATCCAGATGAAGAATTTGGTCCATACGAAGAATTTGATATGGGGTTCCTATTCTTCATATGTGGTGTCATGATGACATTCTCGTGAAGATTTTCAAGGCACCTTTTGGGAACCCAGATTTTCTTCATAGGGGGACCATTCCTGCAGCTAGTTCCAACATATCGAACAAATACTTCACCATTCTGATTATTGAATAGTTTATAGTTGGAGTCAAATGACTCATCAAAAGAATATGAAGATTCACAAGTAAAGCCAGATAATGTGCATGGATCTATGAAAGGTCCTTTCGCAGCAACTTATGAGGTTTTGGGGTACTGCTCAGGTTTCCAGTAGGTCCCATCAGCATTGAGTTTCCTCTCAAAGGCAATACCCTCTTTTCTAGGGTTCCTGTTCAAGATCTGCTTTTTGAGCACATGACAAAGAGTCTGATGTCCTTTGAGGCTTTTGTATATGCCTGTCACATACAATTCCTTGAACCCTGCATTATCGTCAGTGATACTTGTGGTATCCTCAGATGAGGAATTTTTGACCCCACAGACAGTTGAAGAATTTGCAGCAATAGAAGCATTTGAACATTCAGGTGAAGAATTAGCATATTCATGCTCAATGCATTTCAGACATGGTGGAATAAATTCTTCCTGAGCGGAACTGATCTGTTGAGCAAGCAATGAATCGTTTTCCTTCTGAAGATCTTCATATCTCACTTTTAACTTCTCAAGAAATTGCTTTCTCTGAAGAAATTCATAAGAAAGCTTCTCATGATCAGATAAGAGAGTGTTATGATGATTTTGAAGGTTGTCAAACCTAGACTGAAGTCTCTGAAGATTATCAGTCAAGGTCTTAGTAAGATTCAATTCCTCACCCAACATGTCATCACTTTTGTTTAGCAGATTTTGAATCTTTTCCAAAACATTTTGTTGTTTAACAGCAATTTTAGCCAGTTTGGAATAGCTAGGTTTGAGATTGTCATTAGATTCATCCTCACTAGATTCAGAGGGGGAATGTTTGAGTACCTTGGCGTCTTTTGCCATGAAGCAAAGGTGGGAGCATAGTCATCAACGCTCTTGTCAGCAGAGTTGGGGAGGTCATTTTCTTCAGTGTTGAAGATGGACTTGCTGACGTAAGCAGTAGCGAGGGCTAGGCTCGCCACACCAGAGTCTGACTCCTCAAATTCCTCCTCTTCCACATTTTCCTCAGATTTAGCTTCAGAGTCCATTTTCTTGCCAATAAATGTCTGTGCCTTCTTGGAACTGCTCTTCTTGTGAGATGAAGACTTTGAAGATTTTGATGATGAGGACTTTGAAGATTTCTTCTTCTTCTTTGAGTCATCAGAATCGTCATCTTTGTACTTCTTCTTCTTTGATTCCTTTTCCCACAGAGGACATTCAGACATGTAGTGACCATGTTTCTTGCATTTGTGACAAGTTCTCTTTTTGTAGTCACGGGATGAGGAATCACCACTCCTTGAAGACTTTCCAAAGCGACCACAGCGAGAGAACTTCTGGAATTTCTTCATGAGCATTGCTAGCTCCTGGCTCGGTTCTTCAGGGTCACCAAGGCTGCTACCGAAATCTTCACCTTCAGATTCAGAGACTGCCTTGTCCTTCAGTGCGCGTGATCTTCCAGAGCTCGGTCCATAGAGGTCTCTCTTCTCAACAAGCTGGAGCTCATGAGTGTTTAGCCTCTCGAGGATATCAGCGGGATCAAGAGACTTGTAATCAGCTCGCTCTTGAATCATCAATGCAAGGGTATCGAATGAGGAATCAAGTGATCTCAACAATTTCTTCACCACCTCATGGTCGGTGATGTCAGTGTGGCACCAAGTGCTTGAAGCTCATTTGAGATGTCAATGAGGCGATCGAAGGTTTGCTGAACATTTTTGTTGTCGAGTCTTTTGAAGCGGTTGAAGAGATTGCGAAGAACATCAACTCGGGAGTCACGTTGAGTAGAGACTCCTTCGTTGACCTTGGACAACATGTCCCAAATCAGCTTAGCAGTTTCCAAAGCACTCACTCTGTCATACTGTCCTTTGCTCAGATGGCCACATATGATATTCTTTGCTTGAGAATCGAGTTGCTTGAATCTCTACACATCAGCGGCATTCACAGACGGAGTGACCGATGGAACACCATTTTTCACAACATACCAGAGACCGTTATCAATTGTCTCAAGATGCATGCGCATCTTGTTCTTCCAGTAGGGGTAGTCCATCCCATCGAAGGTAGGAGACCCAGCCGAGACCTTGATCATTCATGCAGTCGACATAACTAAAACTCCAGGTGGTTAAACCAAAATCACACAAAACAAGGAAGTACTTTGCTCTGATACCAATTGAAAGTGTGTTATATCGATTAGGGGGTGAAGAGGTGATTTTTACAAATTCTTCATTGAGGAATTTCTAGGTGAAGAAATTCCTAAGAAATGATACACTAGCAGCGGAATAAGTACGCAGGTATAAGCATAACCAGCTAGTGGTTGAGGGGGCGACTATTTATAGCCTAGGGAGCAACCTGACATGATAAGACATAAATGCCCTTCAATGATATGACCGTTAGGTGGAAGATATTTTTGGACAGCTGGCGCATAGCACAACAACGGTCGGATATTTGAGGTTCAAATTCCTTAGGGCTATCATGTTCCTCGTTGTGTAGGCCATTCACACTGGCGAATTCCTAACTCCTCGGTCGGAACAAATTCCTCAGAGACCAGAAGATCTTCGTTTCTGTCACTGAAGAAATTGACTGAACTGATATGAGATTTCCAATGGCTTCACTCGAAAGGATTGGGCAGGTGTAGGATTTTGAGATGAGCATCACTTGGAAATCAGTTTCCTTAGTATTACCTCGACCCCCTTTAACAGTACGGTGTCCTATGACTCAAGAAAGAGAAAATGAAACTACGAAAACAAAAGTCTTCACGCTTCATAATCCTCGCATGAGTATCCAAGTATTCAAGGTCAGACCAATTTCTTTACTTTCAAAATCTTCAGGAGAACCAAAGTCTTCAGCTAAAGACATACATTTTTAGGGGTCGACTTTCATCATAAATATTAAACTCCTCATTGACTTATAGAGTCTGTGTACACTCACAAACATATTAGTCCCTTAACCTATAAGTCTTCAATACACCAAAATCACTAAGGGGCACTAGATGCACTTACAACTTGTATGACCTCACCTCTTTAGGTAAAATCGTGTCGGATTAGCGTACAAAGGTTCTTCAAAATTCGGTGGTCGGTACTACAAAGGATATATCTACCATCTCATCAAATTTTGAATTCGTATTTGACCCACACATTTAGTAACATAAAATGAAAAAATCTGTTGCGAATGCTAGCAGGTTCACATTATGTTTGTATTGTTCTCTTCTTTTGGCAAAAAAGGTCAAAGGCCATATATTATGTAACAGATACCCTTAAAAACACCTTTGCAGAAATGGACAAAATACATCCAAATTCTTTGGGGTGTCGAAGTTTTCTCTCCCGCATCGATCGGCCGTGCACGATGAGGAAAGCTTGTTGACATATCGGGGTCTCCCTCTTAGCCGAGAAAACTTGTTTAAACCTAAAAACTTGTAGAAGCGGTGACCAAAAAGTCATCCATCTAGACCAGAAGATGCCGACAACCGATTTCTATGTAACAAATCGCCACCCCGGAGAAGAAAACACCAGAGAGGGCTTGTATAATGCCCCAGGTACGACCAAGATGGAGGGGGGGCACAACTCTCACATGCTCCTCGACAAGGCTGAAACCAAGCAACCTTCGTCGATCAAAACTGGAGCCGAAGGACCAAGACACACCGATGCCGGCAACGCGCCATTAGCTTCACAAAACAACAACACCGAGACAAACTTGCATAAGACCCCTCCCCCAACACGGAGAACTAACTAACACACCACCCTCAACACGCTTTCCAACAATGTCAAGAAGCACCATCAAAACAAAACGAGGGCGAAACAGGGAGGACTTTTTCCACGCCGACGATGGCATCATCACTTCACCATCGACGACGGGGAACCAAAACATAAACTAAAAATCTTACCCTACCATCACCCATCAGAAAACAATAAGGTCCCCGAAATTATGTTTCTATTCATTCTTCTATTCAACTGCTTCCGTCATTTTATTTCACAGTGGTAAATCTAATGCAGGCATGAAATTTTATGACATGGTAAATGCATCTTGTGTAAAATGTTGTGGAATTTATCTAGATAAGTATATTTTTTGGACTTCCATCGTGCACAAGTTCACTGATTTTACCAAAAGAGGAGAGTGCACCCAAGTGTCACCCTAACAAAGATCGCATGGGAGAACCGAACCATGTCTATGTGAGCTGCAGTCTCCTTGCCTTGAGCAAACAAAGTCATTACTCACTTGAATAACCATTTGATACATATAACTATATACAAATCAAGGATATGCCTCCAAACTGGAATTGATGAGTGATGGAACCCTGGGTGGATCAAAAAACCACTATCAATTCAATTTTGAACCTTTAATCTGTACACACATCCTCATGCTCAACGCATGGATCGGATTTCAATCTTCCCTAACAAACAATATATTCACTCCATCCCCTCACTTCTCTGTACACTTGCAGATCAACTGATCGAGCACGCAGACAGGTCACTTGAGAAACTTGAGGTAGTCCTTGAGGTCGGCGGGGATGCAAGGGTACTGCCTCCAGAAGGCGCCGTGCACCCTGAGCATCCTCGCCACCTTCTCCTTGGTCGACGGCGAGCTGTCCGCCTGCAGCAGCGCCAGCAGCTTCGCCACGCCGCCGCTCGCCACCATGTCGTCGAGCACCCTCTCCGTGGGCCGCGCCGCGCACGACACCAGCCACAGCACGTTGACCGCCAGCCTCGTGGCCAGGCCGGACACCCGCAGCACGGTCCGCACCACGGCCGCCACGGCGAGCCCGTGCTCCGCGAACGCGAGCCGGCCCTCGGGGCACTTGCACAGCCGCTTCAGGAGCAGGAGCGCCCGCTCGGTGACGTGTCGGTCGGCTTCCGGGAGGAGCTCCACGAGCACCCGCACGGCGCCCACCTCCACCACGCCCTTGCCGCGCCGGGCGCCGCCCCTGGAGCGCGAGCGCGCCGTGACGTCGATGAGCACGTCGAGCGCGCGGGAGCTGAGCTTGGAGGAGGCCCCGTCAGAGAGCAGGTCGAGGAGGGACTTGACCATGTCGTCGACGTCTACGTCCTCGGTCCAGTTGCGGGCGCCGCTGGCCTCGGAGACCTTGGCGAGGATGGACATGGCGTGCAGCCTCGCGTCGGCGCTGCCGCGCTGGACCAGCGCGACCATGGGCCTCATGCACTCGGGCCTCAGTACCAGGTCCACCGACTCCTCGTCCGAGAGCGGGAGCGTGGCGAGGACGGCGGCGGCCTCCTCGCACGTCCGGAACGCCGAGAAGTCCCCGCCGGCGCCGCTCTCCGCCAGCGCCTGCGCCATGACGCGGCCGAGCACCTGGATGCCGTCGCAGGCCACGAAGTCGTCCCGCGCCGCCTGGTCCCCGGCCATGCAGAGCCTCAGGCCCTTGAGCGCGGTGACCTTGAAGGGCGTGCCCTCAATGCCGGCGAGCACCGACGGCAGCCGCTCCCGCGCCATCGGCTTGAACGCGCCCGCGGGGCTGGAGGGGGAGGAGGAGGTGGAGGCGCGGTCCTGCCAGGAGGCGATGACGCGCTTGAGGGTGTGGTTGGGCGTGAGGTCGAGGGAGGCGACGCGCTGCATGGTGGCCGGGCACGTGGTCTTGCCGTACTTGAAGAACCACCGCTCGATGCTCCGGCGGTCGTAGGTGACGCCGGTGGACACCGTGACGGGGTCCTCCATCAGCTCCATGGAGATCGGGCACAGGAACAGCTGGGGTGACTCGTCCATGGCCATCGCCTAGAATGAATGGATCTTCTACCCTTGTGCCAATCAAAGGAGCCTAAATTCTTGTCCTGAAATGAAATGTAGTTTGTCTGGGAACGAACAGGGATGTTGGTTTTATACTACTATCTGCAACTGCAGCCTGTGCATGCGTACTGCTGAAGTCATGCAAGCCCGTAGAACTAATCCATGTGGCAGTAGTTCTGAATGAGGCATCCACTCTCTCCAATCAAACTGTATATCATAAATTATGCACTGCGTCGTCACAGACTTAAATTTAAAATCCTCTTGAAACCCTATAGAAAAACAGGATAAACCGAGCAGCTCGCGGTATTCCCACCTTATCTGTTTGATTTCTGTGGATCGTACGCGCGTATAATAATACCGCGGAGTCAATGGTCAGAGGGCCAGAATGGTAGGCGATGCTTACACATATGCATTGAGTGCAAGGTTGGCAAATATGTTTGTATATACAGTATAAAACTAAAAATTAAAGATAAAGGTGGCGCGACGATATGGGTTGCTGCCACGATCTTCAGCCAGAGACTCCGTCTCACGCCCAGCGGTAACCCTTCGGCGTTTTGACGGGACTTTTAGCCACATGCATGGATTCGACGGGCGTCGACTGAAGCAAAGCAACCCGGCCAACAGCTTGCCCGTCGGTTGGTTAGAGCGGAAATTTACCAACGACTTGGTGCAAATTATGATCGATGCCGCTTACCAAGTTGCCAGAAACAAGAGGAAGATGAAATGTTTACTTCTTCTTCTGCTAATACTACTGATACTTATCCTTTTTCTTTTCGAGGAGCCTTGATTTTTATTTTCTAGCGTTGAAAACCTTGAGATGCAGGTTGGAGTTGTTAAGATGAGGAGGTGGCCGGTGATGGCAGCAGGTTTTTTTTAGTGTTAAACTATTCCTGATCCAGCTCCATTTCTTCTTATGTTTGCTCCGTTCATTCTTAAGTTCAGTCCAGAGAGCGGTTGAGCGTTTCCTTTGACTATGACCGGGCATTTTCCTATTCAAATTTTCCAGCCGGATCCTCAACTCCTCTAGAGACGAATTCCTTAATGGCGAGCGATGCACTGCATAAACTATAATACAATAAAGCGCATTTCTTGAAAAATTCAAATATCTTAATGCCTAAGTTAACTATATATGCATCCAGTCACCCACCCTGTTCATCGAAAAATATATCTTAATACAGAAGTTAACTAGTAGTACAGCAAATGGTTCAGTTTTCCGCAAAAGGAAATGGTTCAGTAGTAACCCACGGTGAAAGTTTATCCACACTCGCTGATGCTAAATCCCACCCAAACAATTCCCCATGTGCGCCGAGGATAAAAGCATTATGGACGCCAAGATACTACAAGCCAAAATTCATGAACTCTCTTTCCTTTTTTCGCGGTTTAGGTGGGAGTCTGGTGTCATTACGGTATCTTTCCCGGTCATCACTGTCTGCCTGCCCACTCCTGAAACCAGAACCATTGCAAGCAGAACAGGACGAGCAACGAGTACAGTCTCAACCAAAACACCTCACACATCAGTCACGAAGATCTATTTCATCACAGGTAATCCGTCGCTTGTGCAGTTCATTAGCAAGTGGCTCGTCATCATCAAGTTACCTCAACTCGCAATGCAAAACACACTTACCCTTTAATGATCACATTATAGTCCAGAATGCCAGACCAAGCTTAATATATTGGGAGCATTGGTCACGGATGGATGCAAAGGGTCGCTTGGATGCTCTACTATGTTTATTAATCCTGCAAACGCAAAGCACAAAATCGGTTGGCCTGAAGCTGTCCACTAGATTAGTGCATCACCACTTAGCGAAATCCGCAAATTTCCAAGGCATAGACCAAAACTTGCACCAAATCTGTGTCTTAAAATGGTATCTGCTCCAACTTGCACATGAAAAATCGCCCGTAATACGTACTACGCCTAGTTAACAGCCACTTGCCGACCCGACGTGCAGCACGCCGTGATGCCCTGCCCGGCCCGCTGTTTCTCGCCGTCGCCCGCCCGACGACTTCGAGCGTCTGCGTCTGCCAGGCCGCCCCCACATGCCATGCTTCGGGCGTACCGTCTCCAACCAACGGGCGCGTCCCGATCGGTTTGACCGCCCCGATTTCCCCTGTTTTTTCTGAAGAAACGCCGCAATCAGCAATCAGCACGTAGCACAGCTGCTCCTGATCAAGCGATCATCAGGAAGCTGCTAAGGTCCGTTGACGAATCCGATATGGAAAACAAATGTACGCGTCCTCATCGCCACCGTCACCGGCCTAGGGCTAGGGGTTTAAGAAAGTTATTTACTATACTGATGACACTGTCAGACATTTGGTATTGTTCGCTGGTGAGTTACAGGAATTCACATAGTACGGAGTAATATATACTCCGGGCCGTAGACTTTGGGGTTTTTTCCTACAGTTTTTGACCTTGCAAGCCCAGTTCCCTCTGAGCGGAAGCAACGTTTTGCCGCTGGCAGAACCGCGTTGACATTGCAGATCGAGGGGTTTTACTTTGCTTCTTCACACTCGAGAGTTTCTCCTCGAGAAGACACCCATCATAGTTTAACTTTTTGGTTCAGCACACAGCATTTTGACACTGGATCAGATTTGCTTGTTTTCGCATTCAGGCCAACATTTCCCAAAAACGTATGGCTGCAGAACCCTGGAGAAATACGGTGGTTGGATGAATCGCAATCCTTCACCGAATTAACAAAAGGGGCTCCATCAGGAAATAATTGGCACAGCTACCATGACCAACAAGATTCCATTCAAACATCGTTCTTAACACAGTGCCGCTTGCAAGTGAGAACTGATGCCGACTGTTCAGATTTGACCGGTCAAACCCTTATTTATGAGCTTGGCCGCATGAATATCCGAGAGAATACACAGATCGACAGAGAAATCAGTTCATCAGTCGCCAATAATACAAAGTCGCCATCACCATGCAAGACCATGCTAACTTGCCTCCAAATGTGTGCATCAAAGTCAGAACTCACAAGTCACAAGGATAAAAAAAAAGGATGATGTTAATGTGCTACTCAAAAGGCCTCCATTTGGCGCTGCCGACACCGAACTCAGATCACTCCATCCTCTGATGGTAGACATTGAGGACATAGCTGTTCAGGAGGTCGCCGAACGTCTTGGTCGAGAATTTCTGCACCACGCGGTCGCGTGCTTGCTTGCCCATCCGGATCGCTAGATCGTGATCGCCCACAAACTTCACCATGGCTTTGGAAAATTCAATGGGGGAGGGATCGCACAGAAAACCTGTCGCTTCATTCACCACTGTTTCCACTGGACCGCCACTGTTGCATGCGATTACAGGCTTGTATGCTGCCATGGCTTCAAGAGGAACAATGCCAAAATGCTCGTCCTGGACGTAGTAGTGTACGACATGTAGGCTGAATTAGAATAATCTGCTTAGATTGATAAAAGTCTTACACAAATGGTGGTAGGCGTTGTTTACCTTTGGAGTGTACAACACACAAAGGCAGTTGGACAGAAGCTCGTTTCTTTCAGCTGAAGAACAAGATGTCACAAATTTAACATGTTCAGAAACACCTTCAGTCGCTGCCAATCTTTTGAGCTCCTCAAGGTATTCAACGTTTTCTTTGAGACGCTTATCGTACCCACCTTCAGCATGAGAAATGAAAGAAAACGGTGGCCAGTGGTTAATATTCTGATATTGTTTAATAACTCAGATGTAGTAAGGTTAAACCTGTGAATAAAAGGGGGAAATAACAAATAAAACAAACATCACCTGCCACTGTTAAGCTTGCTTCCAGCAGCGCATCACCAGGTTGCTTAGAAACAACTGACCGGAGCAAAGCAAATGCTGAAATGGCTAGACCAAGATTCTTTTTTCTCTCAAACCGGTTAATTGAGAGGAAATTCAACCTGACAGAAAGATGACAGTTCAGCTTCACTACACCAAACGAGGATAAAATACGAGAGAGACAGCTATTGTATACTAAAATCTGGACGAATAGAACCTAAATGAGTCACAAAGAGATATACAAGCATGAAGTTACTTATAATCATGAGGTTCATGAAACTGCTCAACGGAGACCGCTGGGTATAGAACACCAGGCTCGATTCCTCTAGCATGAAGACTGCAAAATGTCCTGGCAAAAGTTGCTGCAGTGAACTTACTGTTGACTAGAATCAAATCTGCCATACCTAATATATATGCAAAAAAGAATAACCGCAACAATTAGGATGCCAGTAGATCTCTCAACATATAATTAAAGGAAAGTCAAGACATAAGTATAGATACAATTCCGGATGCCCAAGACAATACCAGTCGTGGCTTCCTCAATCATGTCAATTGGCTTGCGATATAACCTCCGAAGAATTGTTGTATGTTGTGCAAGCAACAGATCAGGAAAATGGCAATAAAAAATTGTCTGAAAATGCAACAAAAAAATATCTCAGCACATAGCTGCAATTAGAGCACACTGAATCACTTCAAATAAGAGATAAGTACCTTTGATGATGCCTTTAGTTTAAGTAGTGGAATCACAACAGAAACCTGGTCTACCAATATGACATCAAAGGAGGACCACCAAAGTAGCACGCAGAGTGCAACAAAAATGCAGCGAAGATAAGCACAGACAGCATGAAAGCGGTAAAACACATGACGAGGCAGGAAATCTCCATATACTGTAACTGGGAATGTACCTGGAAAACAGACAGAGAAGTCCAATAAAACTTGTATACACACATCATAAGCATTCCTTACCAAAAATATTATACCCAATACTATACATGTGAGATTATTACAAAAATACTCCCTCTATTTAGTGATCTAAATGCTCTTATATTTCTTTACGGAGGGAGTACTATGTATGGGACATTTTGCAGGAACTGATGGAAATAGAGTAGAACATTTACTCCAGATCAAGTCTGACACAAATACTTGCAACTCAGATATGGATAAATTTAAGAAACAGGTCTATCAGGCTTTCAGCGAAATATAACATAGATATAATTCAGAGATTTACCAGAGACTGTTTCCTCAAAGCACCGATTTCTGTCATGGTGTGATGTGAAAACATGAACATCGTGCCCATGGGCAGCAAGCTGACATGCCGCGTCAACTATCAATCTCTCAGCACCACCTACATCAAAAGTGTTATTCAAATCCTATGACAGGTGTTATCATACATTGTTCATATGCTATATCACGCCTGCTGCAATGCTTCTGTACATGCTTTGTAACTGAAAGTATCATATTGCTGACGTGCGATCCCACACTGAAGTCGTGTAGTTGCTCCTAGCCTCCTCGAGCAAGCTAATTATAAGCTATCACTACAAACACCAATTCGTATGAAAAGGAAAACAGCACTTCCCGTGCTCTTATACTACACCTGAACAACCACCAGCCTATTCGAATCTACTCCCTCCGTTCCAAAATAGTACAAAGTTGAGTCATCTATTTTGGAACGGAGGGAGTAGTACAGAAATTGGGGATCTCCTAGACATGCGGAGAAGCTCAGTGATACCGTCCTCCTAGAATCTATCAACACTACGAAATCAGAGACTCAACCTTCTAGCTGGGCGAGTTTAAGAAGTCACGTGATCTACTCGATCCTCCCAGCTCATGGCATCAGATTCAGACGAACTGCATCTAGCGATCGGATGTGGTGAGAGGAGGAGGATGAGGGGTCCGTACCGATTCCAAGGTCGGGGTGGATGACAGCAATCTTAAGCTTCTTCGTCTTCGTCCCCGACGACTCCCCAGCGACTCCTGCCGCCGCCGCCGCCATCGCTTCCAAGGACGGCGGCGATGCAGGATAAGGCCGGGCGGGAAGGGGCCGCGCGGAGGATATGGTAGAGAGGGATGGGATCGAGCTGTGGAGGGTCGACAGGGGGGCTGGGGACGACCGGCGGACGGGAGGGCGGAGCTCCGGCGGCGGCGGAGCAGTCGAGCGGGACAAGGAAAGCGGCGTGCGTGCGTGCGTTGTTTTCAGCCAGGGGCAAATTTGTCCTTTTCCATCTCTAATTGAGGTTTATTTCAAAAATTATCTCTAATTGAGATAGAATTAACTAAAGGTTTATTGTCAAAAAAGTAATTAACTAAAGGTTGATGGTGCTGTAAAAATACTCCCTCCGTCTCATAATATAAGACGTTTTTTAACCTACACTAGTATTAAAAAACGTCTTACATTACGGAACGGAGTAGTACTAAATATTGATGTTGAAACTATGGTGTGGACGACAGTTGCTCGTCCGAACTTTCGACGGATGGAATATTGAAAGGTGCTATCTGGTTTGATGTACGCATAAACAGATTGATGTGATGCATCATATGAAAATCATTCAAAATTTGTCGTGTCTGTAGCAACATTATATTGATTTTACTCTTCATATGAGGTATTTATCAGTTGGCGGGGGTAATTTATCAAGTGCAAAGAAACACGGGGCATTTTGGTTGGACAGTCAAGTCATTGATTTTGCTACTTAATTCACTGACTTAGCACTTGATGTGAGTCTTTTTTGGTCCGAGCAAATTAGCCCTATGTGAAAGTGTGTTATATCGACTAGAGGGAAGGTGAATAGGCGATTTTTATGAATTTTTCACTGAGGATTTCAGGGTGAAATTCCTAAGCGAAGAACTACTTGCAGCGGAATAAGTACTCAGATGCAAACATAACAAAACATAAGCATGGTTATCACGATGAAATGAAAACAAACACGGAGTACAGAAAGCATAAACACATGATAAACAAGATAAAGACAAACAGACTGAAGAAAATTGAACTGAGAAAATTGAGAAAGTCTTCAGTCAAAGTCTTCAAATAGAAATGAACAAGTACACAACACAGTAATGAGGAAATGGAAGAGTTAAGGAAACAGAACCAGTTGGCTTGGTGAAGACAATGATTTGATTGATCAGTTACGTCTGGTTGGAACGACTAGGTATTTAAACCTGAGGACACACAGTCCCGGACACACAGTCCTCACCGTATTCTCCTTCAGCTAAGGTCACACAGACCTCACCCAATCACTCATGGTAAGTCTTCAGGTGACTTCCAAACCTTAACAAACTCGGTCACTCGGCGATCCACAATTTCCTCTTGGATGGTCAGACCATGACGCCTAACCGTCTGAAAGATGCACAGTCTTCAAAAGTAACAAGCGTCGGATCCACGCAGGATCAATCTCTTCAGTGATGCTCAATCACTTTGGGTTTGAAGGTGTTTGAGTTTGGGTTTCCTCACTTGATGATTTTCGCTCAAAGTCCTCGGAGGATGGAATGCTCTCAAATGACAAGTGATAGTTTCTCTCAGAGCAGCCAACCAGCTAGTGGTTGTAGGGGGCGGCTATTTATAGCCTAGGGAGCAGCCCGACATGATAAGACATAAATGCCCTTCAATGATATGACCATTAGGTGGGTAAGATATTTTGGGACAGCTGGCGCATAGCACAACAGCGGTCGGAAATTTGACTATCAAATTCCTCACGGCTAACATTGAAGGAAATATGCCCTAGAGGCAATAATAAAGTTGTTATTTATATTTTCTTATATCATGATAAATGTTTATTATTCATGCTAGAATTGTATTAACCGGAAACAGTACATGTGTGAATACATAGACAAACAGAGTGTCACTAGTATGCCTCTACTTGACTAGCTCGTTGAATCAAAGATGGTTAAGTTTCCTAGCCATAGACATGAGTTGTCATTTGATTAACAGGATCACATTATTAGAGAATGATGTGATTGACTTGACCCATTTCGTTAGCTTAGCACTTGATCGTTTAGTATGTTGCTATTGCTTTCTTCATGACTTATACATGTTCCTATGACTATGAGATTATGCAACTCCCGAACACCGGAGGAACACCTTATGTGCTATCAAACATCACAACGTAACTGGGTGATTATAAAGGTGCTCTACAGGTGTCTCCGAAGGTGTTTGTTGGGTTGGCAAAGATCGAGATTAGGATTTGTCACTCCGAGTATCAGAGAGGTATCTCTGGGCCCTCTCGGTAATGCACATCACTATAAGCCTTGCAAGCAATGTAACTAATGAGTTAGTTGCGGGATAATGCATTACGGAACGAGTAAAGAGACTTGCCAGTAACAAGATTGAACTAGGTATTGAGATACCGGCGGTCGAATCTTGGGCAAGTAACATACCGATGACAAAGGGAACAACGTATGTTGTTATGCGGCTTGACCGATAAAGATCTTCATAGAATATGTGGGAGCCAATATGAGCATCCAGGTTCCACTATTGGTTATTGACCAAAAACATGTCTCGGTCATGTCTACATAGTTCTTGAACCCGTAGGGTCCGCATGCTTAACGTTCGGTGACGATCGGTATTATGAGTTTATGTGTTTTGATGTATCGAAGGTAGTTCGGAGTCCCGGATGAGATCAGGGACATGATGAGGAGTCTTGAAATGGTCAAGACATAAAGATCGATATATTGGACGACTATATTCGGACATCATAAAGGTTCCGAGTGATCCGGGTATTTTTCGGAGTACCGGGGGAGTTACGGGAATACGAGAGTACATATGGGCCTTAGTGGGCTTTAGGGGAAAAAGAGGAGAAGCCACGAGGGCTGGCCGCGCGCCCCATGGGCCTAGTCCGAATTGGACTAGAGGAGGGGCTGCGCCCCCTCTTTCCTTCCCCCCTCTCCTTCCTTCCCCCTCCTAGTAGGACTAGAAAAGGAGGAATCCTACTCCTACTAGGAGGAGGATTCCTCCTCCCCCTTGGTGCGCCTAGAGAGGCCGGCCGGCCTTCCCTCCCTCCGTTATATATGGGGGCAGGGGGGTGAAGGAAATATGCCCTAGAGGCAATAATAAAGTTATTATTTATTTCCTTATATCATGATAAATGTTTATTATTCATGCTGGAATTGTATTAACCGGAAACATAATACATGTGTGAATATATAGACAAACAGAGTGTCACTAGTATGGCTCTACTTGACTAGCTTGTTAATTAAAGATGGTTATGTTTCCTAACCATAGACAAAAGAGTTGTTATTTGATTAACAGGATCACATCATTAGTTGAATAATCTGATTGACATGGCCCATTCCGTTAGCTTAGCACCCGATCGTTTAGTATGTTGCTATTGCTTTCTTCATGACTTATACATGTTCCTATGACTATGAGATTATGCAACTCCCGTTTACCGGAGGAACACTTTGTGTGCTACCAAACGTCACAACGTAACTGGGTGATTATAAAGGTGCTCTATAGGTGTCTCCAAAGGTACTTGTTGAGTTGGCATATTTCGAGATTAGGATTTGTCACTCGAATGTCGGAGAGGTATCTCTGGGCCCTCTCGGTAATGCACATCACTTAAGCCTTGCAAGCATTGCAACTAATGAGTTAGTTGCGAGATGATGTATTACAGAACGAGTAAAGAGACTTGCCAGTAACGAGATTGAACTAGGTATTGGATATCGACGATCGAATCTCGGGCAAGTAACATACCGATGACAAAGGGAACAACGTATGTTGTTATGCGGTCTGACCGATAAAGATCTTCGTAGAATATGTAGGAACCAATATGGGCATCCAGGTCCCGCTATTGGTTATTGACCGTAGACGTGTCTCGGTCATGTCTACATTGTTCTCGAACCGTAGGGTCCGCACGCTTAAAGTTACGATGACAGTTTCTTTATGAGTTTATATATTTTGACGTACCGAAGTTTGTTCGGAGTCCCGGATGTGATCATGAACATGACGAGGAGTCTCGAAATGGTCGAGACATAAAGTTTGATATATTGGACGACTATATTCGGACACCGGAATTGTTCCGGGTGATTTCGGAGAAAACCGGAATGCCGGGGGGGGGGTTACCGGAACCCCCCGGGAGAGTTAATGGGCCACATGGGCCTTGGTGGGAAGAGAGAGGGGCGGCCATGGTGGGTCGCGCGCCCCCTCTCCCTCTGGTCCGAATTGGACTAGGAGGGGGGGCGCCCCCTTTCCTTCCCCCCTCTCCTCCTTCCTTCCCCCTCCTAGTAGGAGTAGGAAAGGAGGAATCCTACTCCTACTAGGAGGAGGATTCCTCCTCCTTGGTGCGCCCCAAGGGGCCGGCCGGCCTCCCCCTTGCTCCTTTATATACGGGGGCGGGGGGCACCCCATAGACACACAAGTTGATCTTCGTGATCGTTCCTTAGCCGTGTGCGGTGCCCCCCTCCACGATATTACACCTCGGTCATATTGTAGCGGTGCTTAGGCGAAGCCCTGCGACGGTTGAACATCAAGATCATCACCACGCCGTCGTGCTGACGGAACTCCTCCCCGAAGCTTTGCTGGATCGGAGCTCGGGGTGCGTCATCGAGCTGTACGTGTGTCAAGAACTCGGAGGTGCCAGAGTAACGGTGCTTGGATTGGTTGGACCGGGAAGATGTGCGACTACTTCCTCTATGTTGCGTCAACGCTTCCGCTTCGGTCTACGAGGGTACGTAGACAACACTCTCCCCTCTCGTTGCTATGCATCACCATGATCTTGCGTGTGCGTAGGAATTTTTTTGAAATTACTACGTTCCCCGACAGTGGCATCCGAGCCTAGGTTTTATGGTTTGATGTTATATGCACGAGTAGAACTCAAGTGAGTTGTGGGCGATATAAGTCATACTGCTTACCAGCATGTCATACTTTGGTTCGGCGGTATTGTTGGATGAAGCGGCCCGGACCGACATTACGCGTACGCTTACGTGAGACTGGTTCTACCGCCGTGCTTTGCACACATGTGGCTAGCGGGTGTCAGTTTCTCCAACTTTAGTTGAACCGAG